CTGGGGGATAAGAGCGACTTTACGAGCGACGAGCAGATACAAGAGGCGCTGTGGCATTACTACTATGATGTTGGGAAGAGTGTTAGTTATTTGAAGAATAGGCTTGGGGTGGGGGAACCGAGGGAGGAGAAGGCCAAGCAGGAGAAGGAGAAGGTTAAGCCGGTGTCGAGGTTCGATCAGGCTGCTAGTGTGGCGGAGGAGAAGGCGCCGGTTACGACAGGTAAGCACGCTCACTGCACTCATCTCTTCACTTGCACTCCACTCTAGCTATGTAGACGCGTCTGCTGCCCCGCTGTCATCCTCCACCGTTGCCTCAATCTCGATGCGATGCCTACCAACGCTGTCACAGACTTCTTCTGGGATGTGCCCTGGGGCAACGTACCACCCGAGCGACTGGGCGTCATCGCCGTCGATCCTCCACACTACAAATGCGGCTTGTTGGGAGGCTCCTCGAAGCTGGCTGCTCTTGCGGCGAAGCGGAGAAAGGAACGAGAAGACGCGGAAGCTGCTGCCTCGAAAGCCAACAATGACGCGGATTCGGCGATCGCCATGCTGGATAAGCTTTCGATGAAGAACCAGGAGGGTGGCAATCCTTCTCTCTGCGGCACTGGCCCAGCTCGGCCTTCTCGATACCCTATCCGCAGACGGTCGCCATCGCCAGCACCAGAAGCCCCGAAAGAACCCGACATAGAAGAGCCCCAAGCACCCCAGCCTGCTGTAGTCGTCGAATCGCCAGCTCAACGCGCCACCGCCTCAATGTTCGCTTCCACCCTTTGCGGCTCTGACGAGTCATCGAAGCACCCCCAAGCACCGCTACAAGAGGTTCCACTACCTTTTGCTGCGTACAAATCGTATGACGGCACTGGTGCTTTTGCTGGGCCGAGTCCGGATGACATTGTGCGGGCAGCACAGGCAAAGGGCGCAGGTGGCGGACGTCACTAGATTTTGATACAACTTCTTTTTGAACATCTCTAAATCATACAGGAACAACACCAAAGAAGAAGAAAAGGCAAACGAACGGTGACCTGACCGAATCGGTCGAGAAGCTAACCGTGGCCGACGAACCGAGAGTGAAGAGCAAGAACTTAAACGTCGTGGATGAGTTTGAGAAGAGCGCCTCGAAGCGGTTGGCGAACTTTGTAGTACTTGGTGAGTGAAGGTTCATCGTTGATGCTATGAAAATCTTGTGTTGACTTCGCCAGGCCACGTCGATCACGGCAAGAGTACGCTCATGGGGCGGTTGCTCTACGATCTCAAAGTCATCGACCAGCGGTCAATAGACAAGTTACGGAAAGAAGCAGAGACCATCGGCAAATCTTCGTTCGCGCTTGCTTGGGTCATGGACGAAACAAGCGAAGAGCGGAGTCGTGGTGTCACCGTTGACATTGCTACAAACTACTTCGAGACCGACAAGACCAAATTCACCATCCTGGATGCGCCCGGACACAAGGATTTCATCCCCAACATGATATCAGGTGCATCACAAGCCGACTTTCCCGTCCTGGTCATCGACGCAAGTACGAACAGCTTTGAGTCTGGTCTTAAGGGGCAGACCAAAGAGCACATCTTGATCGCGCGCAGCATGGGCATGCAACATATCATCGTGGCCGTGAACAAGATGGACACTGTTGGATGGTCAAAAGCACGCTTCGACGACATTTCAAAACGCATGACTGCCTTCCTTACAGAAGCCAGCTTCCTCGAAAAGCGTATAACCTTCATCCCGCTCGCAGGCCTGACAGGAGAGAACGTCGTCAAGAAGATCGAGAACTCCGCCGCCCACTGGTATACCGGCGAAACCCTGCTAGAAGCTCTGGAACGCATCGACCTCCCATCCCGAAACTTCACAAAGCCCCTCCGCCTCTCCGTCGCCGACGTCTTCCGCGGCGACATTCGCTCCCCACTCAGCATATCAGGCCGCATCGACGCCGGCACCCTGCAAGTAGGCGACGTCATCCTCGCCCTCCCCGCCAACGAAACCGCCACCATCAAGTCAATCGAAGTACAAGACGCCCCCGTCGACTGGGCCGTATGCGGCCAAATCCCCACCCTCCACCTCACAGACATCGACCCCGTCCACCTCCGCCAAGGCGACATCGTATGCGCCCGTAGCGACCCCGTCAAACTCGTCAAGGCATTCACATCCAAGCTCCTCGCTTTCGAACACGTTCTGCCGATGCCTGTAGAGGTGTTTCGGAGTACTCTCAACTCGCCTGCGGGGATCAGGACGCTGAGTGCTAAGCTGAATAAGTTCACGGGTGAGGTTGTGAAGAAGAAACCTAGGATTGTTAAGCCGGGTGAGGTGGCGAGGGTGGTGGTGCAGTTGGAGAGGGAGTTGCCGGTGGAGGAGGGGATGAGGGTTGTGCTTCGGGAGAGGGGGAGGACGGTGGGGGCGGGGTTGATGGAGAATGTTGCGTAGACGTAGATGCAAGGTGGGTATTGGAGTTGTAGAGAGGATATGTGTAAAGCGATCTTCGTCGCGGAGCAGTCGGGGACGGAGGGCATTCGGTATCCTACGAAGACTATGTTGTTATCCTAAGGAACACAAATTCAATCACCAAACAGCCCAGTGGATGCGCTTTCCCATCGATGCGATATCTTTTACAACTTCTTTTAACAACGCTTCCCCATCACGACAACTGCATCAAGGACCTCTTAGAAGCTGGGAAGACATTGCGTACCTGGCACCAGAGGTCGCTTCTCGTTCGAGCAGCTTCTCGGGGTGAGCGAGGCTGCTCGCTGCCGCATCCATCGCTCGCACCTGCCTCCTGTCGATTCACTAACCCAACACGGTCAATGGTCTGCCTCAACGCTTTGCAATCGTCCGATGCTACGTCAACGCATGGTCATAGCGGTTGTGGCACTAGTCTCTGGCCCCGGGGCTGTCTTCGTCTGCAGCCTGGTTCTGGTTCTGCTCCTCACTTCCTGCGCAGTTTTCACATCCATCACCTCTTTCGTATTCGTCCTATTTGATACTCCCGAATTGATATCCTCGTTATCAGAGTATAGCTCACTCATTCGAACTCTGTTTCACATCCACCAAATCATTCACAACCTCACAGCCACACAATGGCACCTGGGACGAAGACGAAGTCCAAGGCCAACAAGCGTGTCAAAGTCACGCGCCCTCCAGTCTCGGATGCTGGCGAGTCCTCGCGAGCCTATGATCAGGATTAAGAGCGCACCGACCCGCATTCACCTTCCATGGACCTTTTTTGTTGTGGCCTTATGACGCAGCGCCGCTCGCGCCGTTCTTCGAGTTCTTCTACTGCGACTCTTGACCACGACACCATCCCAACGCCCGTATCGTAAGCACATACCCACAACCATGTTCGATAACCGCTGACATCTCCCAGACATCGTACTCGGGGAAAGAGGAACCGACCCGTCATCCCAGACTCTGATGATGAGCTGGCCACTGGTTACAAGACCGAAGACGGAAGCCCCTTTCCATCGCAGACTCGTATTAACTTGGGTTTGAACGACATGCGAGGATGGATCGCGTATTATGTTCTACAATACTACGTCGTAGCCTCGCCAAACACAAAGCTGATCCATGACGCAATCACCTAGTGAATGACTGTCCCTTCGATGAGACAACTTCTCTCTCCTTCTAGTGCCTAACCGCATCTTCAACCTTGCACTGCTTCATTCCCGCCGTTGATTCACTACACACATTCCTCATTCACAGTGGCGCAGGTATATACATTCACACGACACATTGATCTAGCACTCTGCCGTATGTTCTTCGACACCACACGCTGGCCCAAGATATCGTTCATCAACACCATGGTCTCACCCGCACTGTCTCGTCACGAATACGATGGACTTGATTGTATAAAAGAGTCCCCAGTATGGCTCCTAGTTGAAGGCATCGCATCAACGCACACACGCACCTACACACCTCGAAGACCAATACAGTCTTCATCCACCTATTCCAACAAACACACCAACCAAATCCCGATTTCAGTAAGCCAACATGCCCTTCGGATCCTTCTTCGGTGGCGACAACCCTTTTAGCTCCGGTCGATCTTCACGCCGTGACACGTATGAGTCTTCTAGCCGTGATCCCTACGGCTATGGCGCATCCAGCTCCAGCAGAATGACCGAGCCCTTCTCTCAACCTTATGGCGACTACACTAGTCAACCGCGTCGTGAGACAACGGGTAGCTCTAGACTCGGCCGCGCTGCATCCCAGCGCGATCCATATGATAGTCGGTACCAGTACCGTGATCTGAGCCCGATGCGCGCTTCTGAGCGCCCCCGCGCTTATACTAACAAGCACTCTTACGATGACCACCGCTCTGTCAGCCCTCTAGGCTCCTCTCGTTTCGAGCAACCGTCTACTACTCGCCGTCTCCTCTCTAGCATGGGTAGGCCCAGCACTTCCTCTTCCTCCTCTCGCACTTCCTCGTCATACGCCACACCGTCGTACGCCTCTAGCTTCCGCGAGCCCCAGCAAACTAGTTTTACTATCGATCGCGGATACGAGCGTCCCTCGACGTCTGGCGGTTACGGTGGTGGCGGTTTGTATCGTAGTAGTGCAGTGCGTGGTAGCGAGGGCCGCGAGGCGCCGCGCCGTATGGGTAGCGATGGTGAGTATGGAGCTCATCTAGGGACTCAGCGTCGGCCGCAGATGGGGTCGAACTTCAGCAATGGCGGGTTTGGCTGGATGAACTGGTAGGTTCTCATGGGCGGGAAGGCCATCGATGCGAAACCCTCGTAGACCCTGGTCCTTCTTTTTGCCTTAGTTTTCCATGTCTTGTCTGAACGGTAGGTAAGTTGGGCTTGTATAAGCTGCTTCGTACTTCATCGCCGCGTTGCTTTGGAGTTCTGTGATCAGATAGTCAGCTATTTGCAGTCAAAGTATCATCGGACAAACGTAAACCTCACATTTCAATTCGTGTGTATTCTGTGAACATATTCGTCAAATACATCGCGGTCTATTCTATACAACAAGCCCTCTCAATCCCCTCTAATCGAAAATGTCCATGTGAATGTTACTGCGTAAAACTCTTCATCATCTTCCTCCCTCTCCCCTCACTCTCGCTCGCAGACCCACTAACGCCCCCAGCCGTCGTGGTATCTTCATCTCTATACTTGTCCTCCTGTTCATCCTCCGTAATGAGGTCATGAGGCAAATTGATCGCCCGATCAAGCGCATAAGGCAGACCGCGATGTCTACCACGCAGCATCATGAAGCAAATCACCACTTTGCCAAACGTGTTGAAGTGGCCAGACAGCGACGTGAGATTCGAAGGGTGACCAAGCGAAAGACCGACGTTACCGTACGCAGATACGACTTCGAAGAAGATGGCGAAGACGTTGAAAGCCTGTTCATAACGTTAGTATACCGTTCCTAACAACCAAGAAACCCCGCTTCAGGGATTTAATCGACTTACATAGTCCTCCTGACTCATAATCCTATCGCTCTCAGCAATACAAATCATGAAAACGCCCAAGAAGATATACCACAAATCGAAACTGAGTTGGTTCCGCATATGGCTGATGAGGTACGTCTTGCCCCCCTTCTGCTCATCGAGATTCTCATCCCCGGCGTAGAGACCCACGGATTTCTCCTCGTAGCTCTCGCTCATGCGTATGCTGATGGCGATGGGGTAGATGGAAATGTACATCATGACTAACAGACTGAACTGAACAGCTGGATTGACGGCGGCGAGATTGAAGGTCGCGGTACCAGTGTGGCGCGAGGATGCGGATTGGAAGATAGCGGCGAGGATGCGGGGACCGACGGGTAGGCTGTTTACTTCGGGGTTGTCGAGATCGAGGACGATGATGAGGAGGGTGTCGATGAAGTTTAGGGCGAAAAGGATGGAGGCGAGGATCCAGGTGGCGGTGCTGGGGAAAAGGAGGGTGTAGCATCGGCGCGGGTGGTCGAGGAGGAAGCGCAGGGATTCTTTGAGGGAAGAAGCGGCGGGTGCGATTTTGTAGATGGACCAGATGAGCAGGCGGAGGAAGACTGGGTAGAATGTGTTGCCGGCGAAGGCGAGGAAGGACATTACTAGCATGGGCCAGGTGGCGTCGCGGAAGGTGACCATGCTGTCGGGTGTGAGGGTTAGGCCGAGGTTGTCGACCATGGTTTGAGCGGAGTAGAACGCCCTAGGAGATGTTAGAGATAGCGATGCGGTAGGGGAGGAGGTGAAGCATACCACCACGTCTTATCTTGACCCTGTGATGCGAGGTAGTCTTGATATTTAGCAGGTGCGTTGTGGATCCATGGGAGTAGGCAAACGACTCCCAGTGTGTGTAGGCCGACAAAGTATCCTGTTATGATGATTAGCATGAGCGCGCCAGATACATCGCTCTTGCTACATACCAATGGTGACCTTGAGCAGGACCTGCAGCGCGCGATACTCAACACCACCCAACTCTTCCCGGGTCATGGAGCTCAGGTCAATGGTGGGTGTCTTGCGTGCCGGCTTGTCTTCGCTACGACGGGCGCCGCTTGCGGTACTTCCGAGAACGAAGATGGAGGATACAGCGCGGTCTACGGAGGTAGCCTTGCTCATGGTACGCGTGTTCATACTTCTTGTCTCTGACCGCAGGCGACGCAGTGGGTTGCTTGACTCTGCGACGGGCTTGATGCGATCTTCATCTTCGTCTTCGCTTTCCTCTGTAGCGATCATGTTAGGTATGTTCTCATGGAAGTCCAACCGGCGAGCTTACCATCTGACATCGAAGTGATGTGTTCGCCATTATCACGTTCTCGCGGACCAGGGACATACAACGCGCCTTTTTCGTTGACATGAGGTCGAGGATCTGGGGCGAACGTGATGCGAGGAGCAGGAGCGGAAGGTTGGTCGTTCGACTCGTCTGTAGTGGTAACAGGCTTCTTTTCCGAGACCGTGGTCTCGCCGGTGAGACCCTCCTCGATCTTTCGTGTATCGGCGGTATTGTCGATTGTTTGAGCCCGACTCATAGACAGCTGCAAGCTCTTGGGCCTACTGTGTGCCGCCGCTATTGGGGGTTAGCTTCAGCTGCAGGATCAGAGCGACATCTAACATACCAATGCCCTTGAGCTTCTGCTTGAACCAGCGTAGTCGCACAACGACGACGAGTACATTGATGAATCCCAGATTTGTAACGATAGGCGTGATGTAAACAAAGATCTGCTGGTATGTCTTGAGAGCCTTGACATCAACACTAACGCACTGTCAGCACGGCACCCATCCCAGTACATCAACCCAAACTTACGGGTTCAAGCCAGATTCAGTCGACGCGCTGACACCGAAGTAGTACGCATCGATAGCCGAGAGATTGCCATAGGGATAGATGATGATCAGGGCCAGAATCCCGAAACTGAGAATGTATGCATCTACACCCCGTTAGCCATGCCGTTCCCGGATCAGACGGAACCGTCTGCAACTTACAATGCAGCGTAATGAAGTTGATTGGCGGCTTCCACATATTGCCTTTGTCGCTATGCGCTCAATCCGCAGTGACACACTGAGGGATTATCGGTACGTGCAGTAACGCAACGAAAGCGCAAGGGCGAGGTAAGCGAAAGGAAGAAAATAACTCTTTCGTGTTCAAAGTCCAGAGTACAGGAATTTACCAGTGTATTGGGAATGGAATAAGAAGGAGAAGAAGAGGAGTGCAGAATCACCCAGAAAACACGTGAGCTACAGCGCAATACGGCCTGGGTACAAAGGCCCAGCGAAATAATTGTATGAGGGATTTATCTCGCGATCAGCGGTGTTGCTCAGCCACTGCCATCGTGGGCCTGGTTTTGCCTATTGCGGCGACGAAACCGCACGTGAAAGTAGGATGGGCTACATTTTACTTGCTTCGCCGGCGTGCGCCAAGGGGGGGATAATTCGCGCATTGTGATGATGTCGTGGTTGTGGGAAGGCGGTGCTTTGCCTACAAGCTTCTGGCTGCGGACTAGCGCGGACCCCTCCCGCTGCGTGAAAGCTTGTTATTGGTCGGTTGATTTGCGTGTATGCAGGTGCGCGATCGCTTGCACGGTGGGGGTGTTATTTCACATGGTATACTCGTGGGCTGCGCTGGTTGTAATGCAGGCGTTGTCGCGCGTAGCTCGCGATGGCTTGCGGAACCTGTGGGATGACTGCTTGGTGACGGCCTTGAGGGTGTCCACGGCAGTTCAAATGACCGCAAAAGGGCCACGACGTGCGGTGCTAGTGCATCCCATTCAGCCGTAGCCATCTCCTCCAGGGCGAGTCCAGGAACGGAAGACTTTACGTTTAGAATCCTCACCCTTTTCTGATTATTCGCGCAACACGAGACAGGATTTCCTGGCTACGCGCGCTTGATTAAGCTCACACCGCCCAGGTAGTTATGATTGTGCTGTTCGATCCCATTCCGTCGCACTTGACGAACGCACCTATTCTCTTTCGCATTCGTGGAGGCCCTGAAACGCAGTCCTAGTAACGCGGTATGCGGAGCAGTCGAAGGCGCACGAGTTATCGCGGATTTGATACAACGCCAACGACGTGGCGTGAAGCTCATCGCGGTAACAAAACACACACCACTTGGGCAAGCACACGAGCGAGCAACATCAAGCTATCGGAGTCATATTGGATACCAAAAGGACCATGTTACTAAGTCAATGGCATCTATCAGAACCAGGCCACAGTCTAATTCATCGGCACACTCGATTTTTCGTTGCACACACAAAGCGTTACGAGAAGTGTCTAAAATGACTATGCTAATACCACCAGAGCGCCAGGACGCCCCATCAACCATTGTGTCTTCGTAGAACCCCAGGACTCCAAACAATGCCGCTGAACCTCAGAAAACTTCATCCAAATGGTAAAAACGCCGAGCACCTCTAACCTAGGACGCGAGCCCCCAAAAGCGCAACTAAAATCATGACAATAGCCGCGACACCCAGCGCCTGCGACATCTCCATCTTCTTCCCCATCTTCACCGACATCGCTACCGTCTGCTGGAGAACAGGCGCAACAACAACAGGAACCTCCACAGCCTGCTCCACCTTCTGCTTCATCCCCTGCACCTTCTTCCCACCCTTTTTTCCGCGCCTCCTGTTCTTCTTCTTCTGCGCTTTCGGAGCCTGTGAAACCTCGTCCTCGCTATCGTCCTCGTCATTGCCATCAGTGTCAACAGCAACAGGAGTAGAAGCGGTGTCACTGGCGTCAACGATATCGTCAGCGGCCAGCACGTCCCACATATTCGACGACACAACAGCCTGGTCTTGTTTGCGTTTCTCGTTGTGCGGCTGGTGAGTCTTTTTGGTGGGCGCGGGAGAGGACGGGACGGTGTGAGTTTGCTGTGGTGGCGATGATGGTGGCGATGGGGGAGCGCTCACCAAGATCTTGACGGGCGTGTTCTTCGTTGACATCGCTGGTTGAACGGGCGAGGGGGAAGGCATGTTGTAGAATGCGGCTACGTCGGACTTGTGGGCTGCCTCTTCGGGTGAGGATGACCGCGAGGGCGAGGCCGAAATCATAGCACCAAAGTCCCTCACAACAACAGGAGCCTCAAAAACCACACCTCCCCCAGGCGCCGACATAACCTCAGCAGACGGCTCAGAACTGGCCAACGAATCGGGAGCCGGGAGATTCTCAGGTCGTTCCGTAGCAGCAGCGACAGTATCCTTACTGAACGTCGCCGCATACGTGACCTCAACTCCCGTAGACTCGGCGGCAGCCCTGGCCTTCTCCGTGTACATCTTCAGGGGGATGATGAGCCCCTCGTTCTCACTCTCCTCTTCTTCCTCTTCTTCTTCGTCGTCCTCTTTTTCTTCATCGTCCTGCTCATTGCTCATGAGAAGGTTATACGGATTCGACTTCAACGAAGCCGGGATGGGTGGAGGGGACGATGCAGGAGTTGCCAGGGACATGCGAGAAGTTTGCGAGACGGGGGAGATTTGCGAGACGGGGGATGTGGGTGTAACGGGTGACTTTGAGCCACTGGAGACACTCTCGGTAGGCGTCACGGGTTTGGCTTGGGGCTTCGCTTGGAGTTTCAAGCCGGTGTTGGTAGCGGCGAGAGGGAAAGCGAAAGGTGCGCCCCAATCCTGATCCCATTCTTTTGCCAATTGTGACAGGGGGATTATCGGGCTTCTGCTCCTCGTGCTAGTCGCAGTGGTGCCCGTAGTCGCAGCCCTCGCGCGTCTATCTCCGGAGACAATCGCAACAGGCACGTGATCCGCCCTTCCCGCACCACCAACTCCAGTCTCAGGCGTCCTCTCTTCCTTCCCCAAGACTCTCTCGACCGGCACCACAACCCCCTGTTCCCCATTCATCTCCTCAGCTTCGCCATCTGTCTTCGTCGCAGCAGCCGCCCCAGACTCCTCGTACTTCCCAGGCCAAGTCCCATTCTCCCTATCCTGCGCCATCAGCCGCGCGATAATCTCCTGGTTCTCACCCGCATCAGAAACGCAACGCAGCTTCGCCATGACCATGAGCTCGAACGAGTTCTTGGTCTCGTAGTGGGCGAGGCTGGCTGCGTGGGAGAAGGGAGGAGACATTGTGGGTGCTGGTGTTGTGGTAAGGTATTGCGTGTGTGCGTCAGGATCGCTGACTTGAGATTGTGAGAATATTGAAGCTAAGGTGTTGGTCGCGGTTGGTTGAAAGTGAGAGGCGGGTTGAGTAGTCAGGAGGAAGAAAGGGTGTACGAGGAATTTAAAGTGAGAGAGCGACTTTGCGACTGTGGGCGGTAGAGGGGCGCGTGCGCTGAACCCCCAAAGTGAAAACGATCCAGGTTGAATATTGCGCTTTGTGTATAGGTGCGATAGCGAGTGGAGAAGTGGAGGCAGATTACCAGTACCAAAGTCTATGTCTACCGGTGGGCGGTTGAGCATTCGCGTAATTGTCATTCACGGCCAGTGATCTGGCCACGTACCCCACGAGCGTAAGGGTAGATCCGGGCTTTCACTAGACATGCAGTGGGAACTGTACTTATCCCATATTGTTGGGTGCTATATTGTGTGGTAATTTTGAATATGGAGCACAGGGGGATTTGGTAGATGGACGGCCACTGTCAGTGCTGGTGGAGACATAGGCACCAATGATGTCGTTTGCGTTGCTATCAAAGAAATGTAGCACACAGGGGGTATCATAAAGAGACAAACGACAAAAAGCGTAACTTGATAAAACGCCTCTTCTCGCCAAGCGGGAAAGGGGCGGGATCGTGTGTGGAGCAGAGGTGGATCAAAGCATCCAAGTAACCCGCACTTACGGCAATACTGGTATCTTCGTAATCCATTCCTCGATCTCCCAGCCGTTATCTTGATATAACTTCTGGAAATCTGACCGGAACTGTGCTGCTTTTGTGACAATCTCCGCGACGCTGCGATCGCGCAAATGGCCGCTAAGTGGATGAGATGAGTCGGGCCGGCAATACGTCGTGAAAATCTTCTCGAAGACTTGAGAACCTGGAGTACATGTCAGTGTGATGGAGATAAGCTGTGAACAATGACTTCCAACGTACCGGCAAGATGTCTCAAACCTTCGAGCAGAGCAGTCTCTTCCTGTTCGGTCCACTCCGGCTTATTGCTCAACGCCGATGCTTGACGATGTGGCGGCGCAGAGCGAGGCGTGAAAACCGGCAATCGTTCGAAGATAACACCGTTGGCGTCTCTCTCCTCCAGGTCCTCGAGCCTTGTGATAGCCAGCTTACTCCTTCTGCGCGCATCGGGCTCGCATGTCAAGCGTACAATGTGTAGAGCCTGCCAACGTTTCCACCGCTGCGTTCGTGCTTCCTCAAGTTCGGCTTTGCGGCTCTCCTCCTCTTCTCTTTCTTGCATCCTGCGCTCGAAGTCTTCTTGGATCTTGCGATGGTCCTCCCTAGCTTCGAGTCTACTAAGATGTCCGCGATACGTCTTGGCAACCTGTCGAAGATGAGCAATGAGACCAATATCAACACCCTTGATGACTCGGTCGCCCTTGGAGCGTTGAGGCACGGAAACATTCCACTCAGTAATGGTGTCTTTGAAAGCCAGTATCCGGTTTATGAGGGGTGACAAAATTCTCATAGCCTCCAGAGAATCTGTCACTTCACCGACGTTGTCTTGTAGCCATGTGTACAATGCTTCGAGATACAGTGTAAGAGCCCGGAATACGTGACGATAAGCATCTCGTTTGAAGGCGCGCTGGTCCTTCTTTTCGACATCGATACTGATCTGTCCAAGCGCTCCTCGTAAATCGTCGGCTTCATCGACGACAGTGTCCATGGAAAGGTCACCTTCCTGGAGGTGGGCTCTGTATGTCTTGCATGCGCGTCTGATAGTGGTAGCCAGCTTGGTTCGGCACTTTCCTGGCCGTACCTCTAGGTTGAGAGATTCAAAGACGGCGTCGATGCTCCCGGGCCTTCCTGCAGGGCGCGTTATGTTATCAGCTTCCTCAGCGACGCTACTAGCGTCGTCTTCGCCTGAATCATCCCCAAACGCGTCAATGACAGGCGCGTGCTCAGTCTCTGGAGCATCAGCAACTTCCGGAGCTTGCTTGGGCGGCTCTGCGTGCTTTTGCAATCCTCTCACGTTAGCCGGTAACTGCTGGCTTGATTCATTGGTATAGTTGGTGCGTTTCCGTGGTTTCAATTTTCGTGCAGGACCATTTAGGAGTTTTAGGAGATCCTCCTCTCTCTGCGCGTAAGTCCGTTCGGCGCCTTTCTGCGTGCTTTGAACATCGTCATGCCCGGTTGCAGTCGCCACATCCTGCTGTTGCGAGCTGCGCCGGACCGGTATGCGTACTTGTGGGTGACTCTTTCTCGATGCGCTCGATTCGCCAGTCGTCCGCCTTTGTTTCCTCGGGATCTTGGAGGGCTGTTCTTCGCTGTGGTCCGACTCTGACTTCCGTTTCGACGTTCGTCGTGTACTGCTATTGTCCTCCTGCGCACTAGCAGGTTCTCCATCTAGTCTTGTCGTACCACTGGGATTGACCACGACATTGTCGCGTATGGGCGAGGCGGCTTTAGATGGGGTGTCTTCCGGCGGTGCGAGCTCTGGCGGCGAGGAACGTATTTCGGGTCCTGCTACTGCCAGATCCTCCACTCGTTCTTCTTCATCCACTTGCGGCTCAGCGTCATGGTGCACCGGGAGCTCTGACGAAGGCGCAGGGACTTCACTCCGCTCCTCGACTACCTCCACAGTGGCCTGCACCTTCTTCTTGGCTGGCTTCTTTTTCTCCTTCTTCTTCCTGTTGATCTTCAACGGTTTGTGATTGACTTTCTCTGGCAACGCGTATCGACCCTTCTCAGGGCTCAACTCAATCTCGTATGGGTCACCCCGTATCGCGAGGTTCTGTCTGGCTCCCTCGGGGAGTATGCTGACTCGTTTGAGCTTTCCAGGGCGCGCTGCATTGAGGAGGTTGGCGCCGAGGACTGCGGACGATGAGGGTGGGTTTGCGCTTGGAGAGTTGGACTCTGCGAGGAGCTGTTGGGTTGCAGCATTGTCGTCTGAGGAGGGCGTGGAAGGCTTGGGACCTGTAGTATGAGTGTCAGCTTATATAAGCTTGGATGAAAGCTGGTGGGCATGCTGGAGAGCTTCGCGTCTACCCGCCAGCTCAACGGCAGCTGCGACACGACGTACCTGCCTGCTTGGGCGCATCCTTAAGCCGCGCCATATAGTGAGCGTCAAGAAAACTAGCGCATCGGTCCTAATGAAGATATCTGAGCGATGACGGCGATGTGGGGGGAGAGTGAAGTCATCCCCGCGGCCAAAAGCATCCAACGCTGTCAAGGCGCGAAAGAGTGGGCCCATCCCCGAAACACGCTATCACATGAGATCGTCCCTGCCCACTAACCCCCAAACAACCACCACATCACACACCCCGCCATGTCATCAAATCCATCCAAAGCACCTGTACTCGAAGTACTGAGTAGAGATGCATCGCACAGTTTCCAAGTCCCTGCGAAACGCATCCACGATGGCGACGACGTCACTTTCTTCTTGGCTAGCAGAGCCTATGCCGATATCATGACTTTCATCTTCCAGCTCAACACGGCCATGATACCACGGAGGATCAAGAGCGAAGACAATAACAGCACAGAAACCGCGAAAGAGTGGAAGTTGCATGACCCGGATGTGCCCCATCCACCCGTTGTGCAAAGCCTCGCCAAGCTTATCTCCAGCCTGACCTCCATCATCGATGAAGCGCCACCAGATCCCGGACCGCGTCGTTTCGGAAATGTAAGCTTCAGGACGTGGTACGATATCGTTAGAGAACGAGTCCCTGCACTGTTGGATCAGTATCTGCCGGAAGAAGTACTGTCATTCAAATCCTCATCCGACGTCTCAGCCAAAACCGAGTTGGAAGCGTATCTTATCGGCAGTTTTGGAAGCTCTCAGCGCCTAGACTACGGTTCAGGTCATGAACTGAGCTTCCTCGCTTTTCTCGGCTGTCTTTGGAAACTCGGAGCTTTTCCCGCGTCGCAGGATGGCGAGCAAGAACGCGGCATTGTACTTGGGGTCATCGAACCGTACCTCGAATTGATTCGCCGACTCATCTTGACATACACCCTTGAACCTGCCGGGTCGCATGGTGTATGGGGACTAGACGATCATTCTTTCGTACCTTACATATTCGGTAGCGCGCAACTCTCACCAGCCATCAACACACCAGCAGACGTGGCAGCAGAAGGCTCATTGCCATCAGCTCCCCACCCGGGCGACGTAGCAAAAGCTCCCGCAGTAGCTCGCGAACGAAACCGGAATATGTACTTCAGTGCCATAGGTTTCATCTACGACGTCAAGAAGGGTCCATTCTGGGAACACAGCAATATTCTCTACGACGTCTCTGGCGTGAAAGCGGGATGGGCCAAGATCAACAAGGTGAGTATCGCGACACCTTTGATTGCGTGCATTGACTGACCCCAATATCAGGGAATGATCAAGATGTACAATGCAGAAGTACTGTCCAAGTTCCCTGTGGTTCAGCACTTCCCCTTCGGCTCGCTGTTCTCCTTCTCTGCCGATCCGAACGCCAAGGCCATTCAAGCAAGCGTCCACACAACTAGTCAGCCAAAGTCAAGTACACCATCTAACACGGCACCAACTGCAAGACCGCAGCCCGCGTTAAGAGGCCCGATGGCTGAGCCAGCGACTGGCATGCCAATTAGAAGCATGCCTGGCGGTACGGTTGGGACCGCGGCGCCATGGGCTAGTGCTGGTACTACAAGGCCGGGTGGTGGCATGCCAGCTGCGACTGCTGCGCCCTGGGCTACTGCCAGAGGTGCAGATGCAGGTGTACCCAGTGGTCCGAACCAGCCTACTAAAGCGCCTTGGGCAAGTAGGACACCTGCACCGCCGCCGCCAGGAAGTGGTACTGCAGCACCCTGGGCAAAGGGGAATGCTGGAAATGCGCCAAGTGTACAAGAGGGCACGAAGGCGCCTTGGGCGAATAAGAGATGAGGTGCAATGGTAATGAAGGTATGTAGAGGAATTATACACGTCTTGTCAACGATTATACCCGACCAAGGCTCGATTCCGTCTCGTCTAGCGATACAAAGCCATTAACACACATGTACCTAGTCAACGCCGCAAGCGCATAAGGAGTTAATATTATGAACGTTCTTTGCTCCCTCCACCATCCTTCTCCTTACTCCCCCTCTCTCTACTACTCCTCTCCTTACTACCCTTCTCAGCCCCATCCCCTCCACGCTTCTCCCTTTCCCCGTCACCGTCACCGTCACCATTCCCATCCCCATCCCCATCCCCATCATTCCCTTCATCCCCTTCACCCCCATCACCATCACCATCTCCATCCCCACCCTCCTCCCCCTCCTCTCTCTTCCTCCTATTATCCAAATCAAACTGCAACCTCGTCCGATTCAACATCAGCTCCGCCACCCTCTCTCTCTGCACATACACAGTAACCGCAAGATCAAACAACGCCATTTCCTGCTCTTGCGTGTATTCGCCTTCGCCCACACCGAGGCTCTCGTGCGGTTCGGGGATTTCATCCGCGCCGAAGAAGGAGTCGGAAGGGGAGGGAGGGGAAGGTGGTGGGTGTGGGGGATTTGAACGGGGTTGTTTGGAGGGTTTGGAGGGATGGGGACTGTGGCTGCGGCTGCGGCGTTTTTTGTGGTGACGGTCTTGACTGAGGCGACGGTCTCGACGATCTCGACTACGCCGGTGATCTTTACCACGGCCATGTGAAGAGCCGCGACTCCGCTGTTTACTTCGCTTTCGCTCTGCACTTCTTTCCCGCCCTCGACTACGCTGCCGGTCTGCGCCACGGCTCCGCTCTCGACTCTTTCTCACCCCTCTACTCCTCACCCCCTCCTCCCTCCTAACCTGCCCAGAAGGTGGTGGACTTTGTTCACGCGGCCGTTGCGATACCGGTGGGGGCCGTCGCGATGAAGCGCGATCAGGCCTTGCAGAGCGTCCTCGTGGCTTTTCTACATGATGGCCTTCTCCTCTGTACCTATCATCCCTCTTTACCAACGACCTCGACCGACTCCTACTCCTACTCCGACTGCGACTCCCATCCCCCGATCTAGGAGAAACATCACAACTCCCCCCCATCCCCATCGTCCGGTGTCTCCTCGCCATCCTCTCCAATTCCCCGCTAGTAAGAGCCCCACGCCTCCTCCTCTCTTCAGACCTTGTGGTACGCCGGGCCGGTTGGTAATGATCACAATCTTTCCCATAGCGGTCATAGCCTTTCCCAGGACCATCCCGTCCTCGCCCTAGTCCCCGACGTGCACTAGGCCCCCGCGGGCCTTCACTCAAGGATAAGTATGAGAGAAGAGAGAGTGCGTCGTCGTCGTCTTGCTGCGAAGGGTAATAGCCTGATCCAGAGCGGAACTCGCGGTCTAGTGCGTGCAGGCCTGAACTGAAGGATATTGGGTTGGCTTTTGTGCCTGGTGTTGGTGTTGGTGTGTCGTGATGTGCGCCCGCCATTCTTTTTTGGTGGTAAGCGGAAGGGTCTTGACGTTGCTTCGACGTATTTTCTCGGGGTGGTACCATTGCGTCTCGCCGCTCTTTGGACGGCGTGTCTCGTGGAAGAGGAGGTGCGTCGCGCAATGACTTTGATGCTATCGGTTTCCCAGTTGTCATCGATAGTGGCACGGGCTCTGCGTGACGCGTGGAGCGAGGCGGAATACCAGTGGGGTTGGAAGGTGTTGCAGTTGCGATACGCGCTTTTACTTCTTCGATCTCTTTCTTGTTGGCCATGGTGAAGTGCTTGGATATCATCGCTGGGTCTAGTTCTCTTGGTTTGCGCTCTTTGGAAGGCCTTGCTTCATCGTTTTCATTCACCCGGGATCGTTTTATGAGAGGTTCTCCGAGTATTTCACCGCCGCCGAATGGCCTTTTCCCGGTTTTCGATGGTGGTGGGGGCTGTGCACTGGTTGGCTGTGTTTTGTCCACTGGTTTGTCTGACGAGGGAGTAACACGGAGGAAACCGCTCTTCTCCTGGTGCGAGAATCCTGCAAGGGGGGATTGGTCTTCTGCCATGATGAGTGCAAGATGAGGTGATGATCGTTGCTATACAGAAAGATTTAGATGCGCTATACGAGAAGCATGCTCTTGCGACGAACAAGACGCTCGCTCACTTGCTATGTATGTTGAAGTCTTTGTTTACTATGCACCTTCAGCAGACAATCGCTCACCTGCTTTGCGTCTTTCACTCATCGACTATCATGCTGAGGACAACAAAGACTCGATCAGAGTCAAAGCGCCCGGACAATCAGCGCTTTAGCACAAAGCCGTTCACCACCAGTGCTATCCCGAGTGCATGGTACCTGAAACAAGGAAAAACCCGAAGAGGTCTGCGGACTAAATTGAGATAAAAACATGCGAAGTGAGTGACCCAACGTCGATGTAGGCCCTACGGTATTCAGGCCTTTCCTAGGTTGACTTGATGGTACGCTTCTGCGACGATGTGGACGGGCTTATAGACCATGCTAGAAGACTATCGGACCCAATATTCTTGGTGAGCGATGAGGAAAGCTAACAGCAACACTAGAGTTCATGTCAGGGAAATTCCATCGGCTTCTCATTAGAATCTTCTCACCTAGAAGGGCGAAGATTGTCGCGATACCCAGTGCATGAATAGAGCGGGTTTTGACGGCCTTGGGTTGGGGTGGATCGACGTCTGCTTTGGTTTCGATGGGCAGACAAGACGCCGTTACGCCACTTTCGCTTCGAATCTCGGCTGCACTGTCAACCCTCTGAAGTGACCTAGACGCTGTATCGGAAGCTGGAGTGCCATCGGACGAGCTTTTCTCGGAGGTTTCCTTGGCCGTGACGACCAGGTCCGCGGCATGTTCTTTCCTGTCCATTGCCCTACGCTCCTGTTCTAGCAATTCGAGAATTTCTCGCTCGTTCTCGAGATGCCACAGCTTCACCAGCTGCTCCATTGAGGCGTTGTGGCCGAGTTCCTTGCTAATAGTATGGCAAGTAGTTCCAGGTGTAAAACCCCTGAAAATCATATCCGCTGACACCTTGCCTGGTACTTTTACCTTCATAACTGTACATTCCCATCCTCCGAATTCCCCCTGTCCACCATATTCAATTTTCGTTTTGTGGACAACGTTCCTCTCGTACTTCTGCAAGAACAGGACGATAAGTTGACCTATAGTACGAGACCAAATGGGATCACTGTGGCGTAGGGATATA